GATTCAACTCAAACGGACACCTATTCGACAAAATCCAGAGACGAATATGCAATACGATAGGTCCTAATCTAGCATCTCGTCTACAGTTGCTTTCTCACATACGTGCTGTGGCTTCCCTCTGTCTCTTCTATAAGTATTTACACGGTAACAATTCTGACGAGCTACTTCCGCTGGTTCCCAGATTTCATGAATTTAAGAGAGCTATAAAGCTGGCATCTCGTTCCCACACTTTCACTGACGAAACTGTTAATGTAACCATCTCTTCAACTGAAACAGCTTCTTCTCTCGCACTTTCCGTCTGTGGAAATACCTTCCTCCTTCTTACTTCTCTGCTATAATCTTCAAATATTCAAGTCTAAAGTCAATTGACATCTTCTGATGCCATGATCTTGTTCCCTGTTCTTCGTTGTATCTTTTCCTTAAACACGCCTCTTTACTCTTGTTCTCAGTCTTCTGTAACAGTATGCGTGCTATATATATAAATATATAAAATATATATATAAATTTATGGAAACAAAGATCATTTCATTCATAACGGATTCGGAGGTTTTTGTATATTATTTGAATTGTTTGCGATGATGGATTTCTCGCCAATTAAATCATTAACCTTTGCATTTGTTTTTGTGTGAATAATTCATGAATTTGTAAATTGATTGCACGTTTATCGTAATTTAAATAACTGATCCAAGTGCGACTTTTGGATAATAAGTGCGACATTACTGTAATTATTGAACAATATAGTTCATGCCACTTTGACAGAAAATTTACCAGTAAAAAAATTCGTTCATCACCATATTTTATATGAACGCACAACCTTTAAAAATTTAAAATCAAACTCAGCGTTGCTACTGCGCGCTCCAAAAACAATAACTCATTTTCAATAGCATTTTCGGATACAACAATACATATATTTTCGTTGTCCTCTCATTACTAAGAGAAAAACAAGAACAACATCTATTCTATACCTGAAGATGTCTGTAGAAACAGACGAAAGCTTGTAGTAAAAATAAGAACTAATACGGCAGAAATTTATGGAAACAAGGATCATTTCATTTATAACGGATTCGGAGGTTTTTGTATGTTATTTGAATTGTTTGCGATGATGGATTTCTCGCCAATTAAATCATTAACCTTTGCATTTGTTTTTGTGTGAATAATTCATGAATATATAAATATATATATATATATATAAACTATAATTATCACCTATAATTTTGTCATGAGAATATTGCTGGACATTATATCGGTAATTTTTTTCCCGTTCTAGTTTGAAGTCACCATTAAACACCGGATGCTTTAAACATCAAAGAAATGGAAAGTTTTCACCGTCGAGAAAATTTCAATTACCTTATTTAAAAATGCGCATCTCTTTTTTGAATCTGATTTCCCTGATCAGAGGAACGCAATTTTGAGGCCTGCCGTAAGTCACATTTTCTTTATTAAAAGACTCGAATGCACATGCAGGATTTCCTCTGTTAAATAAATAAAACAGGGATGTTTCTTGAAACACTTTTATTTTTTACATATAATACTGTGGCTTAAATGAACTTGTGTTCCTTTGACATCGCTCGTACAATACGAAATACTTCTTTTTCAATCCGCCGTTCTTGAGTTCCCACACACGTCACCAACGTAAAATTCCCTCCCCTTCACACTGCTTCAGCCCTCTTTTGTCATACCAACACCATGTCCGATTGACCAATTAGCGTTCTTCGCTTTTGCCCAGCCAAATGGCATCCTCCAGTCCAACCAATCAGTACACGAATTGCTTACTCGAACCACGCTAAGCTGTACAACAACCATCGTTACAAAATATATACATTTGGAATAATCTAAAGTGGATAAGGGAGATTTATACCATTTTCAAGGAACAAAATAAAGCTGCTACGTGTCATCTATTGAGGTAAGGAACTTATTTTCCTTTGCACCAGATGTAAACCACCCTGACTTACTTGCTTCTACGTAATTGTTCATTACAAACATATAACTACATACGACGTTTAAATTAATAAACATTAATATCAGATTATGAATAAAATCTATTAACTCAGAATGTGCGTTTCAGATAGGCTTGTGAAAATGTCCAGTGGATGAGCACATCAGACTTAACGGCGATTTACCTGATAAGGGGGAAGCACGTTTGAACCCTGCCAGGAGACACATTATTTTTATGAAGAATCTTGAATGTAAATGCCGGTAGACATAAATTCCAACAATTTAATACACTGATATTTCTCGTTAAAAATCGTAAACATTAAATAAAGTAATATATACATAAGATAAAAAGATAGTTTTAAGTTGTCCTATATTTATGAGTAAAAGTACTTACTATAAGGGATAGAACTTAGGTCAGTATAAATATAAAAGAGGACACTGAGGTCAAAGACGAGCGGCAATATACGGACAAATAAAAAAAATACTTGTCGAAAAATACAACAATACTTCGACATGAAAACAATAGACAAAAACTAAAAATAATTGAAGCATTATACATCAAACAGTTAAAACCCAACCTAAACAAAATCAATTATGGCATCTCTACAAATATTCTTAAATGTCTATAATTGGTAACAGAAGCCATTGGTTTATACCAACGGCTTTCCTTACTTCATTCTACAATTCACTCTCGTGTGGTCATGTGTGACGTCATGAGATGCGGTGCGATTTTCGCTTCTAGTGTCTTATATGCGCGTGTTTATCGTTGCTTAGTGATCAACTATGTAAACAATGACAGACTATCATCACTGTCGTGTCCGTATATTGTTTAATATGTTTGTGATTTACATCTTTGATAATGGCTTAAGTAAGCCGAAAGCTTAGATTATATTAAAAAATATGGATCAATATTGTGAATTTCTTCTTCGTTTAATGATAATGTTATCAAACTTATCAGATGTTACGAACAAATTTTACATAAAATAAATAGACAACACTTGTCTATATTATTTAATGAAACGTGTATATATATATATATATATATATATATATATATATATCTGTGTGTGTGTGTTACCCCCAAAATGTGTCAACATTTTAACAACTGATAGCTTAATTGATGTTTTTTTCTTTCCAGATTAAACCCATTAGAATTAATGATGGCAGTTAAACAAAGCTTTGAAGAAAGGAAATTTATTCTAAAATGCTACTTTAAGTGTGAAAACTCAGTTGAAGGGCAAAGACAGTTTAGGAGGGAGTTTCTAACAGAGCCACCAACGCTACTTACCATTATTCGGTAAGTTTGAAGTCGATGAAACTTCAGAATGTCTACGATAAGCATACTGGAAGACCACGGGCATGGATCCAAAAAGAGGTGTCAATGGAAAATTTATATTCTAAAATTAGTCCATTCTGTTAATGACGATGATCCAGACCGAGGTATGGATTTAGATCCTACCTTGATGAGATCTTGCCAAACAGGTACATTGAATGAAAGGGTTTCTTGAATACCCTCGGCGTTCACCAGACTTCACAGACTGGACATTTTTATGGGGATACATAAATGACAAAATCTATGCTATGAAACCTGCAACGGTCGCAGAATTCAGAGCAGCTATTGAACGAGAATACACAAAAATACCAAACGAAATGTTTTGAGATGTTTGAGATTCCAGTGTTTCACGTTGTCAGTAGTCCCTGGATTAAAATGAACACCAGTTTCAAAACAGGCGTTGAAAAACAATAAAATAATGTCTGTAGATTCTATTAAATTTTGAAAATGAAACATATTTTAATAAACTCTGATTTTATAATTATATGAATTGTGTATTCATTTTCTGGGGAGACCCTGTATATAATAAAAATATAGTTTTATTGTATTTTATATTTATGGTTAAAAGTGCACAATATCAGAGATAGAGCGTATGTAAATATAAATATAAAAGGCCATGAAGATTGCGTTCAAGCATGATACAGACTGTGAAGTATCCACGTGGGAATCTGTTCCACAAAGAACTTGTCTATATAACTTTCACCTTATATCTTGAATATGGACAAAAATATGTTGCTCATGAGAGTGGCATAGACGCTTGTAATTCTAAAAGTCTGAACTGGTGTAACTAAATAATATGAGAGCAGGTTGTCTATAGCTCAGTCACACATTAATCGTAGGAGCTTCGTAGATCAGTTCACTTTCAATGTATTTTTGAGTAAATTATATTGAAATATTATAAAAAGAAGAAAAAAGGGCTTGGAGAATTTTATACTCACAAGGCAGGTTGAAGGAAATAGTTGAAGTTGTTAATAACAACCAAGATACCTAATGATTTTGAATGATTGGGTGCCAGAACAGGGACAAAGCCATATGGTAAGTAGTCGAACGTTGATTAGAGCTACAAGGGAAGGAGGTTGTGGAGAGTCATGGTCGTTCACGTTCTGATGGAGCAGGGTACATAATAGAAGACTTGTTTTTTCTTTCAATTTTGAGTTGTTTCGCCGTTGTAGGGTATTTGTTTACGTTCAATTTTAGTAGACCCCTATTTCTGATGTCATGATATGATGGTTGAAGAAAAAAAAATTAAGTGTTCAGCCGCTTTACCAGGAATCACGTTTTGATTTGGGAAATAAAATTAGTTTTTTGATGAAGGCTAATGAACCGGCATCATCAGAGAATCATGTCAAAATAGAAGTTTTCTAAATTGGCTGATATATTTGCTATTCTGAGAGAGGGAGAAAGATGTGAAGAAAAGGAAGAGAGAGAGCAGACGGAGAAATTTGGAAGGTATGGAGAGGGGTGACTGGCAGGTTGAGTGATAGGGGGAGAAATAGGGAGAGGGAGGGGAGACAGGGAGTGGAGCGAGGGAAGTGGGGAGAGACGGAGGTAGAGAGAAATATTTACGTTGTCATGTGAAATGTCTCCGTCTGAATTTCTTAGGTGAGGAGTTATCATTATTTACACTATTTACATGCAGACTATTGTCCGCATTATTGTTGTTGCTATCACAACGTTTCGGTCGATGTGCCCTTTGGCCTTCATCAGGTGTATAGCGATCCAGGTAATCTACGTGTCTAAATTGCTTGATATATTTACTATTCTAAGAGAAAGAGTGAATGAGATAGCGAGAGAGAGGAGATGTAGAGTGTGGGTGAGATGGGGAGATAAGCGAAGAGAAGGGGACGGAGGGATAATGAAGAGTGGGAAGAGGGAGGGAAAGGGGGATATGGACTGACATATTTGCATTTACATGACAAATATTTATCTCTGAATTTTGGGGATGAGGAGTTATCATTATTTACTCTACTTACAAGCTGGGCTGTTGTCCTCATGTTTGTTGTTGCTATCACAACGATTCGGCCATTGTGCAATCTGGCCTTCCTCAATAGCGCGTATAATGAGAAATGTTATTAATTTTTCATAAATATTGATAAAAAAAAACATAATAACATGGTAAGCTTAACAAACACTGACTGACCTATATTTTTATAGATTATTCCGTTATCTGCTTTTGCCATCAGGATGTAGGCGATCATGGCACCCTATTTTTTTCCTGTCTTTTGTAGTTGTAAGCAACGCTTGTCACTGCCCATTATTCGTTTTGTTATCAATTTACACGAATTCCGTTTCTCGCTATGCTTCTTCAATATTTCATGTGAATGTTAAATTCTCCCAAGCAATCCTTCCTTAATATTTATTCCACAAATTTCAACACATTCTTTAAGTGTCTTTTTGTTTCCATTTTCCTTAAAACTTCCTCGGTGTTTACACGCTCTGCCGATGGAATTCTCCTTATTATTTTGTAAAACCAGACCAGTGATGTCTTACATCCTTGTGCAAATTGAAACCAAACGAATAATTCTGTTACATCTTTTTCGTATTTTCCAATTAAAGATGACCCAGTCCAGATTGACCAAAGATTCCCGATTGGAGAGTTTCCGGGCCAATCTATAATACTTTGATTTGCTTACTGGTCAGTCTTGCTAGTTTGTTCGTGTAGCGTTACAATTTTTGTGTGTTTCCTTGGAGTAAAGTCCATCACAGACAATGGCCGTAGGACAACTAATCGACAGTCGAGACAATAGTGCCTGGATGTGATAAAAATCTGATGCAATCACGGATGACGCAATATTTTTCAAGGCCAAAAAAATATCATACACTCCGAAAATAGATTCATATTACTGCACACCAGTGCAAATAACCTAATATGAGGAAAAATAGAAAATCGATAACAACCTGTCACTCTGTTGGGACTAAAACTGACCGTTTGGTGAAAGAAAGGAAACTAATGCAGTTGTTTCAATTAATTTGCACAAGGGTGTATTTCTATACTTCATCTCCGAAGAAATTGTCCAGCCATTCACTGATATATATAGCTTACATAGTAAGTCCGCACTGATTTCTTTTATTTCTAATTAAATTTCTTCATACTTTCTTTCGCTTCTGGAAAGTATATTTTATTATCACATTGTATATTCGTATGTTTGTCACATATTGCAAGTTCTGGTAGATGGTGAAATGTCCGTGTTTTCTCATTTCTGGTGTCTCCAATTCGTCACACATACCCTCTGGTTGGCTACCATTCATTCTGTCTTAAACTTTCTTCTTGTTTTTTTTTCTGGTTAACATACTGCATATGCTCGAAATAAAATTACGAAACCGGAAATAGATGTCTTTTAGAAGGAATGATTTAAAACTGTAAATAAAAGGCACCGGTAATTGAAAAGTATTACACTATTTCTATGAGAATAATGCATAATAATTATTGATTTTAGACTGCTATTGAAAAATATTTTACCTACGGATAGATTTTCACTGGCGAGCTTCAGCAGGCTTTCATAAAAATCTCATATTCCAGATTTTCATATAATGAGGAAAATAGAGATTTTCCAAGGGTAGCTTGGATGTGGCACAAGGCCGAAAGTAAGGGGCAGCCAGTGAGGATTGAACTCACTATACAGCCGTAATTGTTCTAGTGAGACAAGCTTGCTAACCATTACACCACCTCGAGGTGCCCTATAATGAGAAAAATAAAAACGAACTTTTCACTGAATGAGTACTTGTAGTAATACTCTTAAATAGACTTGAAATTCTGAGAAAATTTTCTTCTTAACTGCATAATTTTTAATTAATTTTCACTATATCTTTAGATGTTCTGTGTTTTATCACAACTGTTTTTAAACGAACCAATCTTTGATCATCAAAGTAAGTAAGTGAAATCATTATTAAAAAAAACAAAAGCTAATTCCGCGTTCACATTATTTACTTTGATGACTGAAGACTGGATTAATTGAAAAGATTGAGACAAAAATTAAAATAAAGAGGAGGAAAATGTAATTTTTAAAATATGTGAAAACATGTGAAATAAATATTTAATTTCAGAATTAAAAATAAAACTACCTCAATTTCTATTACAGGTGATTAAGTAAAGAATTCATTGTTGTCCTTCACTTTGTCTTGTATTTCATTAGTACACAGGCGGCTCCACAAAGCAGATAATTACGTACATAGTCTGAAGCAGTAGGAATACTTGAAGTCAAGAGTTTTGACCAATGCCAAAGTTACAATGTTATGCTATTCTCTTTGAACAGTGATTTTGAACACCGAGTTGCTTTCCGAGTTTCTTCGAAGTTTTCCGAGTTTCTTCGCAATTTTCCGAGTTTCTTCGAAGTTTTCCGACTTTCTTCGAAGTTTTCCGAGTTTCTTCGAACTTGTGAATAATGGTGTACAAAGGCGATCGATTGACAGCACACTCCTCAACGTCCTTTGGTGTGATATTTGACCAGTGTAGATTAGTTTTAATGGCGTCGTCTCACTGTTTCTTTGGTCGGGCATGATGTCTTGTACTACATAGCAGCTCTTCGTAAAAAAGACAGTATGGCATAGAAAAATAGACGAGAACAAGTGTAGAATAAGTTGTAATGACAGAAATTGCATATTTCTAGATTCAAATCTGACTTACCTTAAATGCGAAGAAATGCAAATAAAAAAATATCTTACAGGCACTTGTATAGTAATGTGTGGTAGGATATACATATGTGTGTATAGGATATATTTATGCGTGTGTGCGCACACGTGGTGGGGTAAGATTTCCATTCACTTACAAACAAATAGCTTTGGGAAACCTATGAATCCATGTCTTCCCCCCACTCCTATGGATAAATAGCAGAACAGACTAAGTATCATAAACTCAGGGGCAACTAGTGTATGTAAAGAGCAACACTGAATTAAAGACCTTAATGGTGAGAGGAAAAGATCATTCAGGTCTTCAGTAATGGTACAAACATTTATACTCTAGCTTCATCTTCAAAGTCCATTAAAGAACCAGCAAGAGAACGGTGAATAAGTTTTAAAAAGAGGGAACAGTTCAGAGGAAAACAGGAACACGGGTTTAAAACATATTATCACTTCAAATGTAGCTAAGTTGTAACGAAGCTCAGAGCAACATTAGATTTTAATGTTCATTCTAACTGAATTTTTGGACTTTCAATAAAAACAAAATAAATAACAAAACATGTGTATTTTTTCCTCAGTTTCTTCTTTAAATAATTTTATAATTTTTTAAACTTAATACTGATTAAATTTAAAATTTGTAATTTTTAATTTTTAATTTTATAGTAAAATTTAATATTAATTAGTTAGAATGATTTCTATTTTAGTCTAAACATAACATTCAAGCATTAATTAATTATTATAACCAAGGTTCGTTGTCAAATTTTTTGAATTCTCATATACTTGTATTTTGATTGGTCATTCCGAGATGTAGAATTGGCGGTTAAATTTTACTAATTCAACAGTAAAAGGGTGGGACCTAGATGCCAATCTAGTAGCACCCTTAAATGCATATAATCGGGGCACCACATAAAAAAAAGCTCGTCAGAGCAGTTACCATGATATTCAAATATTCAACTGCCACCTTCTTCACCCAGCGCAGCACTCTCCTCAAGGCCCTTGATGTAAGTCTCCGTGTTGAGCCTGGGGTCCTCAACAACCAAATTCGAAAGTGTTTTGTTTTTTTCAAATTAGAACGATCAGAGTCAGATTTCAGAGATGGTGTGCATTCATAATCACCTTTAGACTAATCCAACACTTTCTGAGTCCTCTGCACATTAACATGCAAACAGTCTGAGAGGTCCGTATTGGTGCTTTTAGTGCGAATACCAAACACTACAGTATGCCGCTTCCACATTCCTGGCGGAGTGAATTTTCGTCATGTAGCACTTTTTCTCCCAGAGACTGCCCGACTGACCGTATTATTCTGTGCAGTCAACAAAATCAAAAACAATCAACACGCATGCACGCAGTTAAAAATAAAATATTCCGATTATTTACTCGTCTTATCCTGTTTATATATATATATATATATATATATATATATATATATATATATATATATATAAGAAGAAGAAGAAGAAAGATAGAAAGGAGGCTCATTTTAGTCTTTTCATCCTCTGTGGAACTTTTTTCAAGGTATATATCTTACAGTTATATTCTATCTGATATTTTTTACATACATACATTTATTTATATATATATATATATATATATATATATATATATATATATATATATATATATATATATGTGTGTGTGTGTGTGTGTGTGTGTGTGTGTGCACAAATTTCAGATACATTAAAAAATATTTTTGAAACATTATCAAGTTAAATGCCTTGAGAAGGTTCCACAGAGGATGAAGCTCGTCGGTTAAGTTATATTTTTCTTTTACCTTTCTTTCTTATATATATATATATATATATGTGTGTGTGTGTGAGATTTGATTATAGTGGTGAAAGCCTCGTGCCGGACCATCCACACTTTTTGAAGGGACGAATACAGAGACCTGATGCACCGAATGCCACGAGGTTCCCAAACGACCCTCCGCATGTTTTGAATTCAGAGTTCTCCTTCTCCTAGGCCAGTTGCCATCCAAGGCTATAGAACCCAGTCTGTCCTGCTATTTTACCCATATCTGGAGGGAGAGGAAGAGGATTCATACCTTTCCCAAGGGTATTAGCACGTAAGTGAATGTAATGGATTCGACTAGAATTCGAACTCTGCTCTGCGATTCCTCCATCCAAGCCGCTATCCATTACTCCACCGTGCCTCCTATGCCAAGCACTACAGTATGCCGCTTCCACCTGTGCCGGTGTCGGGCTGTCGGTCTCCTGGGAACTGATCTGCTTGACCCTCATACGTCGAATCTCGACGAGAGAGTCGATTATATATATATATATATATATATATAT